AGTTCTGCTGGTGGTGCCCTTCCCTTCCCCCTGGCCAGGCTCTGTGGGGCCCAGGCAATGTGTCTTCTGGGTTCCATCCTCCATGGGAATATTCCATGGTTCTTGGGGTCCCTGACCAGGGTTGAGCCGTGCTTTGGGGCATTTTTGTATGAGGCTGCCCTTGCCTGTTGTGGTCAGACTCTGAGATGAAGTGGAGTCAGGGTCCAGCAAGGACATGGAGAGGAAGGGAAGGAGGGAAGGAGGGAAGGAGAGAAAATTCTTCCTTTAAATCGAAGGGTCTCCTCTCTCCTCTCTCTTCATCCTGCTGTGACTCAGACATCCATGGGTGGGAGCACATGCCCTGTGGTGGCCCCCATCCATGAGGTCTGGGGTGTCCACCCTGTGGATCCTGACCCTGTGACCCTCCCTGACCCGGGGGACTGTGGGTGGAACAGTGGTCTGGTGAGGTGAGCTCAGAGTCCAGGCCCTGTGACCCTGTGGCCAGGTCAGAGGGCTCCCACCTTGTGTGTCCATGGACAAGGACTAGCTGCCCTGTGCTAATGTAGGGAGGGTGGTGGGACATTCTGAGGGGTGACCAGCCCCTCAGATAAGTGGAAGCAGAGAGGGTGCCACCCTTGTATCCTCATCTCCCTGTGCCCTTTCTGGAGCATGTGGGGGACGTCCTCTATACTGTCAGGTGCAGAGAAAGCGGCCAGGTGTGGGCGCTGTGGGTGGTGAAGGGCCAGGTGAGTGGCACAGAGAAGTGGAACCTGGGCTCAGTGCTGCCCCCACCCCCTTCAATTGAGACCTCCACTCCCCCACTCCGGTGTCCTCGACACCTCAATTTGGGATGTCCCCTCCTCGGGCTCACCTGCGCAGTTGGCTCCTCCTCATAGCTCATGATCTGGCAGGGTCATGTCCACCTGTCAGTGACTCTTGCCCTCTGCTTCCAGGCCCCACCTCCCGGGATTACTCCATGGAGAACAGCATCCGCTTGGGCCTGGCAGGCGTGGTCTTGCTGATCCTGGTGGCGATTCTGGTGGAAGCTGGGCTCAGCCAGCGCAGGTCCCCACAGGGACCACAGGAGTAAAGACAAGGGAGCCCACTAGCTATTGGGGGCCCCAGGGCCCCATCAGGGACCTCCCCAAGGGCTCAGAGGCAGAAATCAAAAATTGAGGAAAGGAGCAAAGTTTAGTAGCAGCTTGGTGTCAAACATGGGAAGATAAGACCTTCCAAATCTTAGGAATATAAATAAAAAATCAGACCTTTGAAAAGGAAATCTGACAGCACCAGCCTTGCATTGATAACATCTTCGCATCGATGGCATCGGCATCTTTGAGGGGAGCCAGAGCATTGTCATTGACAGCAGAAGCCTGAATGGGAGACCATCCCCCAGAGGCTCACCAACCTGCATCAGCTGTGGGGCCTCCTCATCAAGGAGATGGAGAAGCGGCACCAGCAGCTGGAAGAGGTACATCGGACCCAGAGAAGCTCCTTGTCCCTTCGGTCAAAAGACTGAGCATTGCCCCAATGATAGTGATGCAGGAGACAAAAATGAAGGCTAAGCAAGGGATCAAGGTGCTGATTAGCTTTGGTGAGCTGCCAGTTTTCTCTAAATTCTTGCATGGCCAAATCTGAGGATTCTGATTAGATAATTTTCATTTTGTAGCTGAAAATGTTAATATGTCTGTAGTTTGATTTCTCTTATTGCTGTGTTGCATTGGCATTATTTTGTTATGTTTTTAATAGCCAGAGTTATGTTCAAATTTATGTTTATTGTAGTAGCTTAAAAACAAAAAAGGGGGAGATGTAGGGAGCGGCTCTAGGGTCAAGCCTTGGGTTGACCTGTGGCAGGGCCACAATCAAGTCCCAGCATGGAGGACAGAGCTCTCTTAGCATAATTAAGCCTGACCTGTAGCCCTCCCTAATTCCTTCCCAAGTAGCTAATGGGCTGTATGAGGTGCAGCAAGTGTTGCCAAAAACAAGAACATTTGTATATATGTTAATCTACCCTTGTTTTAATCAGACTATAAAATAAAGCATCAGCTTGCAGGCTGGGTCTTTTGTGTCCTCATCCAGGCATGAGAGGTCCACCGAGTCCCAGCTGTATTCTCTTGTCTGTCTTTTTTCAATCCTTCACCGCCCCCTCCTTAGGTTCACCCTTAGCCATGCTGATGTGGCCCAACAAGGTCCATAGGGGCCCAGAGACACAGGCATCGAGACTGAGCTGGGTGCCACCTGCCCTACAGAGCACTAGGGGGAAGGCTGACTCCTTTTAGTGTCCCCCTCAGCTCTGTGCTCTCCCAGGAATAACATGGAGGTGTCAGGAGAGTTTTATGGCTTCCCCTTTGCAGGTGAGAAATGAATCAATGTATAAGGAAATGTGTGTTTGAGGACAGTCAGCCTGTGAGGACCAGATGACAAGCCATTAAGTTTCCCTGCCTGTTTTGTCTGTCTACCTTTCTATGCATCTCAGTATCTATCATTGTATCTATTTATCTATCTATGTAATTATGTATCTAATTTTCTATGTATCTATCTACCTGTGTAACTATGTATCTAAATATCTATGTCTCTGTGTATCCATCTATGTAATTAATTATCAGTTCAACTCTATGTGTCTAAGCATCTATATATCTATGTATGTTAGTATCTGTCTATGTAACTATGTGTCTAAGTGTCTATGTGACTATCTTGATCCATCTATGCATCTATGGATCTACCTATGTCAATATCTGTTTCTGAATCTCTGTTCCTGTATATCTATGTGTCTGAGTATCTATGTGTCATCCATCCATCCTTCTGTCGTCTGTGTCTGTCTCTGATGAATTTCTTCTGTGTGGCTTTCATCTGGGCACAGCCTCAGCCTGGTGAGGAAACATCTCACTAGCAATGCCTCCCGGAAACCACGGCCTCTCAGGTTCTTCAAATTGGGGAACGTGGGTCTGGGAGCAGCCACTCTCTTCCTGACAGACCAAGGAAATGAGCCCCTGACCTGGCCCCAGTACACTTCCTGACCCGCCCGGCCCTGGCTTGCCTCACCCAGCACAAGGGCAGAGAAACGGTTGAGAGGCTGCCACTCATTTACCCCCATCCCACCACTCTCCTGGGCCTCGGTGAGTCAGAATGCAGTGGGGAGGGCCACAGGGCAGAGGGGCAGAACTGTGGGGGGCACCCAGGCCCCACCTCCACCCAGTGCCTGGGAGCCCACTCAACCTGCAGGCCCTGCTTCCTTTGTGTCACCTGGGTCCCAGCTCCAGGGGAGGGTCCCAGGCTGTTCTAGACACTGGGAGGGGGACAGGTCAGACACAAACACGGCCAGGGCGGGTACTCTGGTGGGGAGGCCTCCTGGGAACCTGTCTGAAACCTGTTCTAGGGGAGGGAGCTACCCCATGGGAGCCATGCTGACCAGGGTGGTTGGAGGTGGTGGGAGATGCAGTCCCTGACCCTGTTTAAAGTCACCTGGCAATCAGGGAGTGCTTGTCTCACTGGGGCTTCCCTTGCAGGGCTTTGCCTGGGTCAGATGATCCACATGCAGGAGGGTGAGTTTGCCATTTTTAATTTAGTTTTTCACACAAGTTTCATGTTCAGGCAAAATATGGATTTTCCTTAGAGTCCACTCCAGGCGTATCTTCAGATGGAATTAGCCCGAGCCTCTCTCTTTGTCTGGATCTCTCTGTTCTCATGCCCTCTGGCTGAGTTACTTTCAGAAATCCATCCTGTCTTTCGCTTTCACAAACACTATGTTCCCACTGTACAATGGCCTCCTCCCAGGATGAGGGCTCCAGTGCTGGGCTTGCCTCATTCCCACCTGACCCTCTGGTCTCAGCTCAGGGCCTCTCCCCTCTGCCTCTGACGAGAGGTCAGGTCTGCCCCCCTCACCCTGAGCCTCCCACACTCACCCCTGACCCTCCCACACTCACCCCTGAACCTCCCACACTCAGCCCTGGGCGAGTATCACAGAGTGTAGCTCTGGGATTGTACACTCCCCTCCTCAACCCTGTGCTCCCTCTACCCTTCCCCTGAGAAGGCAGGGATCCTCCCGTGTTTCTCCTATTTGTGGAGCCAATGGCACAAGGAGGCGTCAGCAAATGGAGACATAGGAGCTGAGCTGTGGCTGAAGGAATGAGGGAATGAGCGACCAAGGGAATGAGTGCTGGGGCTCGGCCAGCTCTGCCTTTATCAGGGATTGAGTAACTTGGATGCCTTCTTCCCGTTTCAGGGCTAGAGCCCTTGTTGTGGACCAACATTCACGAGAATAAGACCACCAACTCCAATTAGGTCTTAAACAGCAAGCCAGGATTTATTGAGCTGGCCAGTGACTACATTTACAGCACCCTGCCGAAGCAGAGTCTGAACTGCAGTGCCGACTACAGGAGTTACATTTTATTATTAAATTCTGTGGAGGCCCAGAGAAAAATGTGTCTTTCCAATTCTGGGCCCCCAATATGGAGGAAACTCTCTTTATTTATACTTTTTCCAGTCCTTTGTCTCCCAAATTTGGAATGAGACTTCCAGGCCTTCTGAGAAAGAAGGCCTGCGTGCTGGGAAGGGGCCATGAGACCATATCTCAAGGCCTGGCCTGATGTCCGTACCTTCCTATCTATGTGTTTAGGACAGCGTGCCCCACCTGACCAAAGCGCCAGATATGCAGCCCAGCACACCCTTTCTTCCCCTGCCCAGTCCAGTTTAGACACTTGGGGTTTCAGGAGCATCAGTCACAAGGAAGTGGGAATGGGCTGCAAGGAAGGCGGGAAATGAAGAAGGAACCTGAGTGAGTGCTGTTCAGAAGACGTGCCCAGGAGTCTGGTGTCCCTCACCCACTGGGGTCCTGTGAGCAGGTCAGGGCTGGGCTGGAGCTCCACCCCCATTAGACTTCCCATGGGGCCATTCAGCTCCCATTGGTCCCCACATTCTCCCCCAGCTGCCTGCAGGCCCGGCCAGGTCATTGCCACCATCTCCCACTCCAGCGTCCCTGTTCACTGAGTGTCCTGCTCATCCTCACCGTCTGCCTCCCTCCCAGCCCTGTCTGCCCCCCTGGAGAGTGGTCGTGAGGAGGGAGACATACCTGGGGCCCCAGGCTGCTCTGACACCTTCCGTGTTACCCTGAGAAAAGCCCAGGATGTCACCAGAACTTTTTTTCACGTGCAGAAGTCATTGGAGTGATGAGAATTCAGTTTCCTGGAGGGGGAAGGGGCAGGGTTTGGGGGAAGAGATGGTGCAAATGGTGTAGAATTGTGCTGTGGTGAGGGTTGCACAGCTCTGTAAGTTTGCTAATAACCATTGAGCTGCACACATAAGATACGGGAGGAATGAGGTGTGTAGATTTCCTCATGATGGAGCCTGAGCTCCTGCTCTGTTTCCTCCCAGGGGCCCTGCTCAAACCCTCCCTCAGGGCCGAGCCAGGTCCTGTCATCCCCCGGGGAGGGCCTGTGACCTTCCTGTGCCGGGGCTCAGTGGGAGCTAAGCCATTCTGCCTGGAGAAAGATGGAAGAACTGTAAGCCCTGATCAGAAGCATGTGTCTCAAGATGGTTTTCCTGCTCTGTTTCCTCCCAGGGGCCCTGCTCAAACCCTCCCTCAGGGCCGAGCCAGGTCCTGTCATCCCCCGGGGAGGGCCTGTGACCTTCCTGTGCCGGGGCCCAGTGGGAGCTAAGTCATTCCGCCTGGAGAAAGATGGAAGAACTGTAAGCTCTGATCAGAAGCATGTGTCTCAAGATGGTTCGCAGGGGACAGAGGCCAGATTCCACTTCCCCTCTGTGAGTGAAGACATTACTGGGCGTTATAGCTGCCTCTACCAACATGTGTTTGATATCTGGTCTGGGCTCAGTGAGAGCCTGGAGCTGCAGGTGACAGAGGAGGACTACTCCACTCCACCCACAGGTTGGTCCCAGGGCCCTGCACCCTGTCCCAGCCACGTCTCTGTCCGGGCTCCCTGCCCTCCTGCTCACAACCAGCCCTGGGGCTCCCCTCCTTCTGCACACATGACCCTCGGCCTTCACCCCTGGCTCAGAGCCCTGGAGTCTGGTCTCATCTGGACACCAGAATCCCCTGAAAAAATGAGCCCCGCATCAGAGGGGACACAGAGCTGTCACTAGGTGGGGACAGACCCCTTCAAGGGGCCTGAGTTCTTCCCCTCAGGATGGTGGTGCCCTGCCCTTTCCCCTGGCCGGGCTCTGTGGGGCCCAGGCAATGTGTCCCCTGGGTTCCGCCCTCCAGGGGCAAGTCCCATGCTCCATGGGGTCCCTGACCAGGGCTCGGCCGTGCTTTGGGGCATTTTGGGATGAGGCTGCACCTGGCCAAGTATGGTCAGACCCTGAGATGAACTGAGGGTCCAGCAAGGACTTGGAGAGGGAAGTGAAAATTCTTTCTTTAAATCTGAGTGACTTCTCTCTCCTCTTTATCCTGCTGTGACTCAGACATACATTGGTGGGAGCATAAGCCCTGTGGTGGCCCCCATCCACCAGGCCTGGGGTTGTCTACCCAGTTGATCCTGACCCTGTGACCCTCCCTGCCCTGGGGGACTGTGGGTGGCACAGTGTCTGGGTGAGGTGAGCTCAGAGTCCAGGCCCTGTAACCTTGTGGCCAGGTCAGGGGGCTCCCACCCTGTGTGTCCCTGGGCCAGGACCAGCTGCCCTTTGCTAATGTAGGGAGGGTGGTGGGATGTTCTGAGGGGTGACCAGCCCCGCAGACAAGTGAAAGGAGAGAGAGTACCACCCCAGTGTTATCAGTCTCCCTGTGCCCTTTCTGGTGTGTGTGTGTGTGTGTGTGTGTGTGTGTGTGTGTGTGTGTCAGGGTGTGTGTGTGTGTGTGTGTGTCAGGGTGTCCTCTCTACTGGGAGGTTCAGAGAAAGAGGCCAGATGAGGGCGCTGTTGGAGCAGAAGGACCAGGTGAGTTGGGCAGACAGAGAGGAACTTGGGCTCAGCCCTTCCCCTGCTCTCTACAGTGGAGCCCCTGGAGCTCTCTGCTCCCCCACCCAGAGCCTGGGCTAGTGCGGGGGGGTGAGACACACGGGGACCTCAGCTTGGGGCGCCTTCTCCTCAGGCTCTGCTGGGCAGTGGCTCCGGCCTCATAGGTCATGGCCTGGCCTGGCCCTGGCCACTTCTCAGTGACCCCTGCCCTCTGCTTCCAGGCCCCACCTCCCGGGATTACACGGGGGGCCTGGCGGGCATGGTCTTGCTGATCCTGGTGGCCATTCTGGTGGAAGCTGGGCTCAGCCAGCGCAGGGCCCCACAGGGACCACAGGAGTAAACACAAGGGAGCCCCCCAGCTAGAGGGGTCCCCAGGGCCCCTGCAGGGACATCCCCGATGGCCCCGAGGCTCATGCTGGAGCCCAGGACACCAGTGCCTGCCCTGTCCCCTCCCCTTCCTCCCCTCCCAGGAGACTGCCCTTCAGACTGTAATCCCTCTTCCCTCTTGATGGTGCGGGATTCTCAATGGTGACCAGGCCTCTCTCCTCTGTGACCTCTCTCAGGTCTCCAGGGTTGGCTCCAGGTCTGACCCTCACCTGGCTCACGCCCCGCCTCCTCCTTCCTGAGTCTCCCTTCTCAGCAGGTTCTACACAGGTCCCAAGTCCCTGCAGCTCTCTGCACCCCCTTCCCCGCCTCTCCCCCTAACCCCCCCGCCCTTTTCAGAGGCTGCACGTGCTGGGCTCAGGCCATTTTCTCAGCGTTCACACCCCTCTCTCTGGTGGTCTCAGTGTCTGGGTTCTCTCCCAGGTCTGAGCCCCCCGCCCACACACACACGCTGGGATCTCCTGCCTCCCCCTCCCCTCAACCCCCATTTCGCCTCCTGGAGCCCCACTTCCCAGCGGCTTTTTGGGAACCTGGAAGGAACGCGTGTGCTGCTCCAGGCCCTGGGTCTCAGCCACACCTGTCACCTGTGGGCCCGCACCTGCTCTGGGCCCCGCTCACCCCACTCCCCTGCCTCCTCGGGCCCCAGCTGACTGCACCGCAAAGTCCAGGGAAGGACATGCAACCCCAAACCTCGGCCGGTGTCACCACACACTCATCAGGGCGGCCGCTGTTTAAAAAAAATGTTTTTGCATAGAGATGGTAGGAAACTAGTCGGGGAATCACTCTGTAAGGCATATGCATGTCTAATCCCTGTGCTGCGCACTTGACATAATATATTGTATGGCAGTTGTCATGGAAAAAATAAATTTTAAAATAAAAGGAAAGGAAGCCCAGCCGTGGTTGAGCGTCGGCCTATGAACCAGGAGGTCAGGGTTCGATTCCCGGTCAGGGCACAAGCCTGGGTTGAGGGCTCCATCCCCAGTAGGGGGTGTGCGGGAGGCAGCCGGTCAATGTTTATCTGTCATCATTGATGTTTCTATCTCTCTCGCCCCGCTCCCTTCTTCTCTCTGAAATAAATTTAAAGGATTAGGAGGATGAGGAGGGTTGGAGAGCCCTTGGGCCCCTCGGCGGGGATGCCAAATGGTGCAGCCGCTGTTCCTCAAAGTTAAACACGGGATGACACCCCGCGGCCCCGCCACCGACTCGGGTGCGCATTCGGGGAAATGAAGGCGGAGCTTCTCTCCCTGTGCCTCCTGTCCATCTGCACGACTCCCAACCCCCAGGTCAGCGCCAGCCCCTCCGATGTGGAGCGGGGAGGACGCCCCCGAGTGGCGCCGGAGACGCAGGAAGGGGCGCGCGGCACAGAACTGCGCAGCGTCTCCAGGCGTCCGACAGACGCAGGACGGGTTCTGCCCCAGAGGCTCGGAAGGAACGCAGCCTGATGTCAGCGCAGCGAGTCCCGGTTCGGAGTTCTTCTTCTTTTTAAAAATATTTTTTTTTATTGATTTCAGGAGGAAGGGAGAGGGAGAGAGATAGAAACACCAATGATGAGAGAGAATCAGGGATCGGCTGCCTCCTGCACGCCCACCACTGGGGATCGAGCCCACAACCCGGGCATGTGCCCTGGCCAGGAATCGAACCCGGGACCCTTCAGTCCGCAGGCCGACGCTCTATCCACTGAACAACACCGGCTAGGGCCAGTTGGGACTTCGGAGCCCAGCACCGTGCTGCTGTGAGCCACAAGCTGGTGCCAGCCAGGCACCGCGGAGCCGGGAGTCTCCTGCGCCTGGCACCGGATGCCCGGAGGTCCCAGGACGCCCCCAAGCTTCAGCAAACCGGGGCAGCGCGTTCCTTATCGCCTCTGACCTCCACCCCTTCCCCCTGACAGTTCCTCCAAACCCCAACCGACAGACTGACCGCCAGAGCCGCAGCCAGCCGGGCGGGGCGTGGGTCTCAGGGCCTGCAGGACGCAGCCGA